GCCCTCCGCTGGACTCTCTCCCGTAGCTCCTCATCTTTCTTGAACTGGGGAGCCCAGAACTGGACACAGTACTCTAGATGAGGCCTCACTAGGGCAGTGTAGAGGGGGAGGAGAACCTCCTTCGACCTACTGGCCACACTCCCCCTAATGCACCCCAGGATCCCATTGGCTTTCTTGGCAGCCAGGGCACACTGCTGGCTCATGGTCAACCTGTCGTCCACCAGGACATCCAGGTCCCTCTCCACAGAGCTGCTCTCCAGCAGGTCCGCCCCAAGCCTGTACTGATGCGTGGGGTTGTTCCTCCCCAGGTGCAGGACCCTGCACTTGCCCTTGTTGAACTTCATCAGGTTCCTCTCTGCTCAGCTCTCCAGCCTGTCCAGGTCACGCTGAATGGCAGCACAGCCTTCTGGTGTATCTACCACTCCTCCCAGTGTGGTGTCATCAGCAAACTTGCTGAGGGTACATTCTAACTCTTCATCCAGGTCATTGATGAAGAATCAGAACCAAGAATTTTCTTTGTAAATTGATTCTGAGCAAACTGGCAGCATCTGCCCTACCTTAGTCTTTGTAATAGTGCAGGGAGTGTTACAGCTTCCTTCGGTCACATAATGAGAGCATTTGATGGGAAAACACCAGGCCTGATTTTAACAAGATTTTATGCAGGTGTATTCCTAGAGTTCATTTTATTTTATTAGATCTCATCCTCCACCTCTCTCCTGAGCTTTAGCTGGGCTTTAGCCATTGAATTTTATTAGCCTGAAAATTTCATGACTGTGCAGCTCACTGGCAAGGAACAGAAGTTATTGCAATGGCTTTAAATGAAGTGTATTTTTTCGTCCTTTATTTTATGTAGTTTTCATTTATAGTTTCTTCTAAAATTCCATTCTTAAAATGTGGACAGGTCTGATTATTCTGCTAAGAACTGTGCACACTAGACATATGTGTCAATGATTGGTATTATACTGTATTTAACAAGCTGAGAAATATTAACAATTTGAGGATTGGAAACCAAAGCTATCGGGAAACCTGTCCAGCAGTATTTTTAGGGAAAAGCTTATCCATAACTAAAATGGAATAATCTCATCACATCTCTCAAGAATTCAAGAAAATGAGTTGTGGTCATTTTGTTCGTTTGTTTGTTTTTTAAGGAGAAAAGAGATTGATGGGAGAGAACAAGTGGCATCTGTTCATCACTAGGATATTCTTTGACTAATGAACAGTTTGAGGTCAGCAGTATGGTCCTCAGAGTGTAGATGCTTAGATGAGAACAGGTGGGGAATATCTGAGAGGTGCAGCATGGCAGGTTCTTCAAGGTGCTATCAAAATCCTGGGAAAGAAGTGTCTTTAAATCCTACCTCCAGCAGTGAGCTCCTAATACTGAGCGGAGCAGTGCAAATCCAGACCCTTCTCAGCCATAGAATCCAGTGGTGCCACTGAGCTGGACTTTCGCCTCCTGCAAGAGGTGACATTGGAGGGAGGGCTCTGGCGAGCTGCTGGAAAGGGCAGGGGCAGGAGACCGAGCAGCTGCCACCCATTGCAGGAGGGTGCTGCTCTTGGGTGGCAGCACCACCACTCTTCAGTGCTCTGCATCACCCCAGCCAGTACTGGCAGGGAAGAGTGACCATGCATTGACACCTGGTTAAGCTCCGTGTGGCAGCGGTTTGGTTTTGCCACAGCTTGGTGAGGTTATGAAGTCCAGCGGCCCTCTGCTTTGACAGGTCACTGGGATGCCCATGTTGTACTTTGTTCCCGCTTTTGTGCAGGGTGCGCATCTGAGCTCAGGCACAGCTCCACGTAGGGCCAGTCTGCTCCAAAAAACCCTCTTGAAACCCAGAGCACTGGGGAGTATGATATAGGGAAGGCACTCTCAAATTTGTCAAGGCTGTGTAGCTCTGGCTGAGGATATGACAGGAGGGACTTGGGATGCTTCCAGCGAAGCACTCTCTCCAGCGGTCCCAGTAACAATAATGTAATGGTGTGCAGGACCTGGTTGGGTCTTAGAAAACCGGGTGAGGTCTGACAGGGTTTGCTAGCTGTGTTTCCGTGCTGTGTTGAAGTGCTACCCCTGCTTCTCTTGGCCATGGAAATGCTCATGCTATACTGCACCGGAGCTGATAGATCTCACTGAAGCTAAGCTGTCTCTGCGTTTAGCTGTAGTATGTGTATCTGCAACTGCATCGTGGCTGGTTTACAACTTGGATAAAATGGCTTGAGGCAGCTGAAAGCAGACTGCTGAGTTTCAGATACACTTTTCATGCAATTTCACTTCTGTGACACAATGTGAAGAACACAAGGAATGCAGAGTGATGACAGCTTAGAAAAGCTAGTCTGGCTTTCAGATACCAAGGCGGTTGACACCTATAATGCGAGGGATCTATATAGTGCAGCTTTTCAAACATTAAGCTGGACAATTGACCTCCTGTGTCATTTACAAGACTGAGGTTGTGTGTGTTTGACAGACAGTGGGGCAGTTCTCTGCCGCTTGCTTTCAGCGGCAGCAAAGCTGGCAGAAGTGAATGCCAGTGGTCTTGCTCCTGGGATCCTGTCACCTTCTCCATTAGACTCCGGTTTCGCAACGTACCGGCACCAGAGGCTGAGCTGCTTGCAAAAATTCCTGACTCCTATCCTGTGCACTGGTTCTCACCCTTGCCCCATGATTCCCTGTCTCCTCAGTCTGCTGAACTTGGCTGTTTGTGAGGATGAGCAAGAAACAGTATCTGTCAACTGGCTTTGCAAAAGTCCTTGCAAAAATAAATAAAGAAAATATCCTTCTCTGTTGGGGGTGGAAAAATTGTAAATACCTCTTACGTCTATGTTACTGCTTGAGAAAATATATGTGGAACTTCATCCTTAATTAAATAAATGCTACGATTAAAGCGAATGCTGAGTCAGGCAGATAGTTCCTATGTTTTCCAACATATTGAAATAAAATGTCACTTGTTTTTTCAGCATTGCTGGAGAAACCCATCAGCAAAAGGCGAGACAGTGAAGCTGTACAGAAGGCCAAGATCCTTTACGCATCCTGCATGAACGAGAGTAAGTGGCCTGATTTGAAAGGGACATATACGTGCTACCTGTGTTTACAGAGGCAGGCTCTTCTGCTCTCTGCTGAGCTCTGTGAAGCTCTGTGCAGATGCACAGGTTTTGCTCTTTTAGATTCAACTGAATGCAAAGGGTCTTCTACACATATCTGAAGCTGGCTATCAAAACTGAGGTACAAGGCATGAGAAATCAGTTTTACAGAGACCTCTGCTTGTCAGGGAACTGTGAAGGGACATTTATCTGTGGAAAAGGATGACAAAACTGGGGGTGTGGGAGTAGTGCCTGGTAAATCAGAGGAGCCCTCTGATGAAATTCTCATACTGACCCTTTCAAGAGCCTGTTGCTCAGCAGCGTCCACCTTTGTATAAATCCTTTTAATCAAAACACTTCCACAGGGATGGGTGTAGACAGCCGTGGACTCTTTAGCTTTGAGTCAACTGGATGTCAAGCAAGTTTGGACATGGAGCCCTATAGCCACATTTGTGGAGTATTTATCCTGAGCTTGTAGATGTTGCTGTAAGGTGATGTACGCTAGCCTGGGAGATATCACAACCTTTATGTAGCTACACAGGTGAAAGATGAGTTGGGAGGGAGTGGACTTTGTCCTTCTAAGTACCCTTAGTTCTTCTGAATATTTCAGACTTTATTTCCTGAGCAGTTTTCTTCCCACATAGCCGGAGACTGACTGTCAGCAATTGAGGTAGCCCACCCTGCAGCTTTGGTGCCGAAATGCCGACCCCTCTAGCTTTCATTACGTACAATAATCCCCTCTCAGAACCAGTGAAGTTTCTATGCTAGTTCCTAAGCGGGGAATTTTTTTTAATGACTTAATTTCAGCCCTTTGCCTTTTCTGAAAAGCACTGATTTACCTCTCTTATTCTTGATTCAGATAAACTAGGTTGGACTCCTGCACTTCTGTGCTCACAGCCAGAGCAGAGGCTTTGGGTTTCAGCTATTGTGTTTTGTCTTACCTAGAAACTGATGAATGCCAATCAATCCTTATATCTTGTGTGGCTGCTGCTGGATTTGAATTGTCTCGAATGTAATTGTTGTCACACTTTGACATTTCAGATAAAATTGAAAAAGCCGATATGAAACCCCTGTTAAGTATACTGAGGCATTCACCTTTCCGCTGGCCTGTACTGGAATCCAACATTGGACCTGAAGGGCAGTGGTCAGAAAGGAGGTTTAGCTTAGTCCAAGCCTTGGCAACCCTTCGTGGTCAATACAGCAACTCTGTCTTCATCCGTTTATATGTGGCTGCTGATGACAAAATATCCAATCAGTATATCCTGAAGGTACAATATAGCATATCTAATAGGTTACTTTGGCATGGTATTTTGTGGTCTCATTTTTTTTAAAAACATGTTTACATTCCAAATGTTTACACTTGATTATTGTCGCTGTTATCTACTGACTTACAGATGTACATAGGTGTCAATTTATGGGGCTGTGGGAGCCACTAGGAGCCACAGGCTATTGAAAAATACTTCTTTGCAGGATATTTTCTCCTTTCAAATGGCATAACAAAGGTAAAATATGTTCCCAGTGAACCAATGTCCAGGGTCTATGTGCGTGAAAATGAGAGAGGTGGATATCCAGTCCTGGAGGTGTTCTGGATGCTGCTTGTGACTCACCAGTTGCGTGAAGAATGTTTTTTGTCTGTGAAGATGAAAAATGGTGCATCAGTAGCAGATATTTTGAACCTGAGCTATTTTTCTTGAGATGGAAACACATTATCTTGTGCTTATACAACATCTTACAAGACAGAAGTATCCCAAACGCTTCTAAACATGAAATACACAATTTACCTTTTTACTGAAATGCTATTACTTTTGGACCAAAGCATTACCAATTTGTTAACAGTGCATGGCATTACACAATGGTTTAGATTAGTGGGTCTTTTTCCCAAGAAATGTTGCCTCACTGTAGTCTGACAAAACTCCAGAGAGAATTGTAACTGTTACTGTGAGATGTCACCACTGCAAGACCGAGTGCCTGGGCCAAACGCATTGTTGTTGTTTAAGAAGCAGAGATGAGTAGCCAGAGTGGACCAGCCCTCCACTGCTACAAGGAAATAGTTTGTGCAGGCAAGAAAGAAAGGACAAAGAAGAAAGTTATGATGTCATTCAATCCAGCAAAATAGAATCTATGATCTTTACGTTGCTGGCATTTTGAGTAGCTGTAGGAATATAGCAAATAATACATTGTATTTGTGGATCAAACACCAGTTAACTGTGGTGGTACTGGAGCAGATGTCAATTCTAAGGCAGTTCTTTAAAAATGTCTTTTGACTGAGGTGTTAACTGGTATGAAATTGAAGTGTAACTTTCCCCCATCTCTGGGACATTTTCCTGCACAGTCAAGTCAACAGCAGATCAACGGTTTGCTGTATTAAAGATGTCACTCCGCTAAGATGCTGCTCAGATCCCGTCAGGATTGCTTCAGCTAAGGACTTGTATAAAAGAACTGAAACAGTAGAATCACAGAGATATTTAGGTATCTCCTGTCATAATATTTCAGTCCAGATCACCTGTCAGTGAAAGGCTGGGCAGTTACATCCTGATTGCTGGTCTCTGGGAAATGAATTGTGCCTAGCAGTACAATTCAGTCAGTATACCTAGTTGCACCTAGGAGTTAGGTTTCTAAATAGCTGAAGCACTACTTGCTATGAATAACATATTATTCCCTAGGGCATTCTGTTGTTGTTAATGTGATTAAGAACTTGATCTGCACAATACATCAGCCACTATTCTACTTTGTCCGTGTTTTAACAAATTCCCAAGGGTGCAGATTTACCACGGAGTATTTCAATCTGCTTGTGAAAACGGTTCTATTGCAAAATTCTTTTTGTTCAGCATTGCAAAATCATGAATGCATCAGAAATAAGTAGAAACTCCAAATAAAACTTGGTTTAGTATTCAACATAATATTTTTTTCTGGAGGGCTAAAGGAGTTGGTTAACTTTTTTGTTTATTCCTCATATTTGTGTTTTCTTTGTTTCAGTGGGTTGTCAAATCTGACTCTTAAGCCAGGAAAATTTGGATAAGCATTTCATGCAACATTCACATAATTGAAATAGACCAAATCATTTGAAGATAACTACTACCAGGACACACATATGCAGAGCATAAGAGTATATTCTTTTTGCTTCAATACACTGAAAAAACGAGGTGATACTGTTTTCAAAGAATCAGAGTAGCACTGAGCATTACAGCTACTCTTGTTTTACTGGATGATTTGTTTTATTTTGTTTATGGTATATTTTGAAGGTTGAGAACATCAGTCAATAGAGGAAAAGATGACATTGATTAATTCATTTGTGATTCTAGTTGTATTTATTTAGGTAATTTTCATAAAAGTAGAAAATATGTAATAAAAATGATGTAGGATTTAGAGTAAAAAAGGCTTATGTGAAATTGTATGAATAAATATAATCCTTGTTCATTAGACTTATCTTTCAAAAATCAAACACAGCGTCAAAATAAGAATTTTAGAACATCAAAACTGTTGTTTCTGTTCCCATCATTGTCTTCTTCAGAGTTTGGGAGCAGTTTGAATTGTGTTTTCAGCTTCGGCTTCCATACCCTAACCTAACCTCACCACATTGAAGTGTTTTGGGAAAACTCAGTTTCCAGTAGTAATTTTAAGATATCTACTGCACAGTGATTTTTGCCTGTTAGGAACTTGAAAAGGTATGCAAATACTCCCCTGCAGTTATTTCACTCAAAAAACTAACTGCAGATCTTAATGAATTTTCGAGACTGTCTTAGAAGTTACTCTGAGGACCTTATTCCAATATTAATGTGACCATAGACCAACAAACTTTATCCACATTTAGAAAGAGAAGTGAAAGTCAAAGATCTACCTGGATCTACCAGACGTCTTTAGCTAATGTACTGGAGGCATAACAATTTCCCATGCATGCATGCAATCGTCTCTGTGGCTGGTATCCAGCTGTTTCAGTACATCTGTTCAAAAAGCCAAATACAGCACTCAGTGCTGGTCTAGGGTGAAACTCAGAAGTGTCACCTCAACTTTAGTCAAAGAAGGCTAAAGATACTTTCCAGGCATGCAGCAGCTGACATGCTCCAACACCTAATGCGCATTTATTCCAAATATTGGACTAGTGTTTGTCTCAAGCTGACTCTTGTGCCCCTGAAATATGTATAGCCTGAATGGTCATCAGCACAAACTGTTTGATCCTGTAGACCCAGTCCTATTGCATTACCTACTCACTAATAGAGCCATAAACACATAATCATGTGGGTGATTGTTTGCTGTATTAGGTGGCTCAGATATTGCAAGGAGCATCTGAGGCTCCCCAGATCACAGTAAGGTGACTTAGATAATGTCTGTCAGCACGGCATATAATTTTTCTTTTTTGAAATCCTGTGAAACTCAGGCTGGTGCAATGCATTATGTATTAGATATTTACACACATCTACCATAATTGCCAGAAAAACATGAACTCTTCCAGGGTTGCTCATAGCGCTACCTTTGAATTCTGAAGAACTTTCCTATTAAATGCGTTTTCTTGTTATTTTTAACAGCTCGATCAAGCGACCCTGTCCCTTGCGTCTCGAGAGGATTACCTAGAAAACACCACAGAAGCTAAATCTGTAAGTATTACTAACTGCACTCAGAGTGACAATTTTTCCCCACAGTTTTTTTTCATTGTTACTTTTGCATTGCCAAGCTTCAAAATGAGAAAGGATTGTGACTTGTTTGGTTTTAAATTCTTCAGGATATCTTCCATCAGAAAACACCACCACCACAAGTACCACTACCTCAAACACTCTTGCAAAGTTTCTCAAATTAAGATTTTTGTAAGATTTGGAGTCAGTCCTTCTTTTCTTCCCACTTGGAAGGAGCCTCTAGAGTTCATCTAGTCCAACCCCTCTGCTGAAGCAGGGTTAGTTACAGCAGGTGTCCCAGGACAGTGTCCAGCCAGGTTTTGAATATCTCCACAGATGAAGACTCCACAACCTCTCTGAGCCACCTGTGCCAACCCCCGGTGAAAAAGTGTTTTCTTGTGTTCAGATGAAACGTGGTGTTTCTATTTGTGTCCTTGCTTTTAGTCCTGGCAGCACTGAAAACAGTCTGGCTCTCGTGACTTCTTTATTCTCCTCCATCAGGTATTCGTACATGGGCATGAGATTCCTCTGACCCTTCCCTTCTGTAGGCGGAGGAGTCTTAGCTCTCTCAGCTTCTCAGTGCATAAAAGATGCTCTGGTCCCTTAATCGGCTTTGTTGCCCTGTGCTGGACCCGCTTCAGTACAGCCATGTCTCTGTTGTACTGGAGAACCATGAACTGGACCCAGCCACACCGGTGCTGAGCAAAGGGGAAGGATCACCTTGACCTGCTGGTGATGCTTTGCCTAATGCAGCTCAGGGAGCTGTTGGCCACTTTTGCTGCGAGGGCACATTGCTGGTTCATGTGCAACTTGGTGTCCACCAGGACTCCCAGGGTTTTTTCTGCAGAGCTGTTTTCTAGCAAGTCAGCCACCAGCCTGTGCCCTTTCCTGGGGTTATTTTTCTCCCCCAGTGCAGGACTTGGCACTTCCCCTTGTTGAGCTTCATGAGATTTCCATTGGCCCATTTCTTGAGTCTGTCAAGGTCCCTCTGAACAGCAGCATGACCTTATGGTGCATCAGTCACTCCTCCCAGTTTTGTACTGTCAGCAAACATGATGAGGGTGCACTCTGTCCCAGCATCCAGCTCATTAATGAAAAAGTGGAGCTTTTTTTTTTTCAGCCCCACTGTCAGTCTCTGGGGTGTATTACTTGTGACTGACCTCCAATGGACTTTGTGCTGCTGATCACAATGATTTGGGCCTGGTCATTCAGCTCATTTTCAATCCACCTCACTGTGCACTTCTGTAACCCTGACTTTTTCAGCTTGTCTCTGAGGATGTTAAGGAAGGCAATAATGAAAGCCTTAATAATGTGGTGAACAACAGCAACTGCTCTCCCCTCATCCACCAAGCTATCCATGTAATTGTAGAAGGTTGATTAAGTGTGATTTCTCCTTCATAAATTCATGCTCACTACTGCTGATCGCCTTGTCATGTGTTTGGAAATAATTTCCAGGAGGATTTTCTCCATCACCTTCCCAGGGACTGATATGAAGGTCACCAGCCTGTAGTTCCCTGGAACTTGCTTCTTGCATTTCTTGAAGATATGGGTGATACTTGCCCTCTTCCTGAGGAACCTCTTCCCATAGCTATGACCTTCCAAAGGTTATTGGGAGTGGCCTTGCAATGGGGTTAGCCAGTTCCATCAGCATTCATGAGTGCAGCCTATCAGACCTGGATTTAGTTATGTCCTCTTTGCTCCCTAATCTGGTCCTCTTCCATCAAGGATAAGCCCTCCTTGCTCCAGACTTCACCTCCGGTCGAAGGAACCTGGGATTCCTGAAGGCTAGTCTTACTAGTAAAGACTGGAGCAAAGGTAGCATTAAGCATCTTGGCCTTGCCAGTGTCATTTGTCACCCTGCCGCATTTAGCAGCAGGTCTACCTGCTCCCTAATCTTCCTTTCACTGTTAGATACTCATAGGGTCTTTTCTTGTTGGTCTTCACTTGCCTCACCAGATTCAACTTCAGGTTGACCTTGGCTTTCCTAACTATATCCCTGCAAGACTGGTCAGCAGCTCTATACTCCTAGATCATCTGCCCCTGCTTCTACCTCTTGTACACTTCCTTCTTATGTTGGAGTTCAATTAGGAGCTCCTTGTACACCCATGCAGGCCTTCTGCCATCTTTACTTGATTTCCTATTTGTCAGGATGGACCTTACTTGGGTTTGGAGGAGGTCAGGCAGAGCTGCATGCATTCCCACTCATCTCTGCCACAAAAGGCAACTCCCTCTCCTCACCTTCCCAGCCTGTCCTTCCTGAAAATACTGTATCCACCCATTTCAGCACTCCAGTTGTGCAGGTTATCCCACTATGTTTCTGTGATCCCAGTGAGGTCATAGCCATATAACTGCACACAGACTTCTGACTCCTCCTGTTTGTTCCCCATGCTGTGTGCATTAGTGTAAAGCTATTTCCAAGGGACATCCAGTCATACTGACTCCTCAGTATGGCCTTGAGAGCTTTCCCTATGAGGCTAACCTGCAGGCACTTCCTTCTTTACATACCTACCCTCAAAGTCATTTCATTTCAGCTCTGTTTTGTTGGTTGCCATGTCCTCTCTTTTCACTTTGCCCTGGGCCCTTGACTTGCCTACTCTACCCTCACTTGCCTCAGTTATTTTTTGAGGAATCACTCCCTCCTCCATTGTTTCTCATTTAAAGCTTTCTCTACCACGTTCGCCAGCCTGTTGGCAAAGATACTCTTGCCCTGTTTAGTCAGATGGATCCTGTGTCTTCCAAGACACTGTGAATTCTCAAGAGGGTCCCATGATGAGCCTGGGGACCATGCCCCGTGGCGTGTGACTGCCATACCTAAGGATGTGTGTGCCAGATTGAGTTTGCTGGCCTTTTCTCTGTGAACTGCTGCATCTATCGACAGCCTTTGGGAGATATGCTCTGGGCCTGGCTCTGATGTCGGCCTCTCTCTGGCATGGGCTCAAAGGGTGCTCGACCCTCCCTCATCTTTCTCCACTGAGAGGGTGGTTGGTCTCTGGACCAGGCTCCCCAGAGAAGAGGTCATGGCACTGAGTCTGTCAGTTCAAATAGGTGTATCCATGCTCAGACTAAAATGTGCTTGACTAGGATAGCCCGAGGAGGGCAGAGCACAGCACTGTAGCAGGTGCATGTGCTGCAGCGCCGTGGCAGGAATAGCAGGGAGAGCTCAGTGGACTGTCCCTTTATCTCCCTATCTTCTCAGCCACTTGCACTTGTATTTAAGTACTTTTTAAGTCCTACACTAATTACTGTATGAGTTTGCGTAAAATATTGGTGTACACTCGTACACGTTGTCTAATCCCACTGTAAGAGCTGTAAGCATTGTCAGTCTGATCTGAAAGTGTCATTTGCATTTCCTGAGATTTATGCTATGTGAACGACAGCAGGTATCTCCATCATTCACAGTATGTTTATAGATTTATTTCTCTTTTTCTCCTTGATGACAGCCAGTGTTCAAGGTAAGGAAAGTACAATTTCGGTTGCTAGGTCATAAAAGTACAAAGTACTATACTCTTTGCTATAGCTGGTCTTTTCTGGCCTACTGCTACAGCTGTGCTCAAGGGCAAATCCAGTGGTCATCTCACTTTTGCTCTCTTTCTTTTTCTTTTTTTTCTTTTATTTACAGTACCGGGATGCCTTTTTGCAGTTCATGGTTGATACAGCAGTGCTTCTGGGTGCAAACGCTTCACGAGCCGAATCTGATATGAAGTCAGTTCTAAGACTGGAAGTTAAAATAGCTGAGGTTGGTAATTTAATGCAGCATTGAAGCTAGATTTTTTAAGAAAACAAAAGTACAAACCTGTTTCAAAATTGAAAGCCATTTTATCAACAGCCTTGGCAACAGTGTTTTTTGGAAGTAGAAGGAAAGGAACAGAACATGATGAAGAAATTATGAACAGCCTTCCTCCCTTAGTTAATTGTTAAACTGATTATTTTATTCTTGGGGGGGGAAAAAATCTTAGCCAAGTACCCTTGTCCTTTAAATTGTTAATATTTCTTAATTTTGAACTTGGGCAGACTTTGAGTCCCTGCTGTGTGGCTGTGTTGTGAATACCTTACTATCTATTCAAGAAGCAGACCAGGCTGATTCTCTGAGGAAGAGTCTCAAAGCAGTGCAAGGCTGAGGTGGGATATTGATGCTTGGTGGTGAGAGGGCAGTGATTACGGTAGGGCCACAGTTAGCTCAAGAGCTGCTTTCACCAGCTACCCTGGGAAAGGGGACGAGAAACTCCGTGAGTTTTCATTTAGGGACCAACTGAGCTTGGTAAAGCTAAGCAGATTTAGTCAGACACTCAGTTCTGACTGATTTATTTGGTGAAATTTTTGCCCCTTTGTGGCATTTAATTTACATATTAGGACTGTTGCAGGCTGAAGGAGCATTTCTCCTTTCCCATATCCCTATTTCAGTATGGATACTGCAGGAATCCCGCTTCTGGGAGCTCTAACTCCCCCATGGTTTCCACTTCTTCCAAAGTGAGATAGGCATGAGCCTCAATGTTGGGAAACCAGCAAAAGTTAAGGCTGCAAACTTGACGCTGATTTGCAGAACTGCCAACTGTGCTGAGGATTTCTTCATATCGCCAGGGAAAGATGCTATCTTTCCCACTAGCCCCTGTGGAATGCTGGGTGTCCTGTTAACAGAGAAGCCTGTTGCACAGGGCAGATGATGCAACAGAAAATGACGTTTCGCTGGGTTCTGCTGTTGCCATCTACAGGAGGAAAGGCAGTGATGCTGCTTAATGGTGCTTGTGCACAGAACTGAGGGCCATCCACAACAGTGAATCAGTTTCCATGTCTCCACTGAAAAAGGAGATGAAATTTTGTCAAACCTTGAAATAAAGCCCAATATTTAGATTTAGTTACTAGCCTGGATGGACTAATGAGCAGATACTTTAGCAAATTTATTTATTTAGCAAAATACCCAGTAGACTCAAAAACCAGTAAAAGTTTCTTCCGTTTATCGTTGATGTGATAAGAAGATGCATTGCTGTCTCTGGTAGTTTTAATGCTTTACTTAATGAATGTCTTACAGAGCTTTAATCCACAAAGTATATAGGTGAAGTTTCCATACAACATGACATGGATTGTGTAACAGACTTCAGGATCCATGAAGCATACATACTATGACGCAACAGGCCATACTTGCTCACCGTTACCTAATCTCCCTTTAGTGTCAATAATCTTCCTAAAATATATCCATATTTTAGGCATGAGTGCAGCAATGTGGATTATTGCATGAACCCTAATGAGCACAATGAATTATATAAATATCTTACCATGATTGACTTCAGAGGAGATAGATAGTCCTGTTTGTTAGTTGGGCTTTTACTGTATCCTGTGTTTCTCAGTATTTGTTTTAAGTGAACGCACGTAATGGAGAACTTGCATGCTCAGAAAGAGAGACAGCAAGAATAAAGGGAAGATAAGTTGGATGCAGGAAGGAGTGGCATGCTTTGAGAGAACCTGTTGTGTACAAGGAAGATTTCAAGTAGGTTTGAATTACTGGAGGGAGAGGGAAAGTTTTGAGAAGAAGGGAGCAAATGGGTTCAAGCAGAGTGTAAAGATTTGTCAGATAAATGAAATTTGCTGAAGCAGAGAAGGAAGTGATTTTTTTTTTCTGTGTGGCTTGAGCAATAGTAAAACTGCAGACACTTACTGGAGAATTTTGGTTGGAGAACTGCCAGCTGTCTGGTTAGTCTGGCATCAATCACTGTCCCCTTTAAACTGCACAGCATACAGCCTGTTGTGTAGGATTCAGCTTAGAGCGGGGCTGGAATTGCCATCGGGAATTCTTGTTTCTCTTGAACGCTGAGAAAATGTTGAGCTATATCTTGTACTTGGTTTGTTTTTCTATTATGAACCATACTGACATCTTGGAATCTGAATGTCCCCTGTCAGTTGTAAAAGGACTTGCTTTATATTTAGGATTCCTTTTGCTATGTCCTTGGACTTTGACACTACAGAAGATCCTGAGATCTGGCTCCTCTGATCACCCAGATGAGAGGCCTGGTTGGAGAATGCTTTAACTCATGTCTCACCTATATGCCCAGATTTCCTGCTATGGAAATCAGGATGCTGGTGTAAAATGAGTAGAAACGTGTGTGTATCTGGCTCTTCCCGTCAACGGAGTCAGTCCGTATCAAGAACGTATTCAAATCCAAGAGATGAGATGCACTTCCAGCATTGCTATCCCATATTTGACCTTTTAAACCACATAGTTTGGAGCTGGCTTCTACCTGACATGACAGGATGAAGAAGTGTTAATGCTCTAGGTGTGCTTTTATATCTGATGAGTCAACATGCATTTCCTTAGGATAATCAATCTAAAATCAGTCTCATGTGTTCAAAGAAGACATGCAGCTCATTAAATTTCCCAGTAAGGAGTTAAACTGACAATCAACTCCGTTCCCTTTCTCCTAGTAAAATGCCATCCTCAGAAAGGGAAGTTAATGCCATGAATGCTTGACAAACAGGTGGTGAGATATTTCTGCACTGGAACTATGATGGACAGTAATGGTGTAAGAGTAGGTCTTTGCAAGATAATCATTGTTCTAATGGATTTTTTGGTTTGGTTTTTTTTTTTTTCGTCCAGATCATGATCCCATATGAAAATCGAACAAGTGAGGTGATGTACAACAAAATGAACGTATCGGAGCTGAGTGCCATGATTCCACAGGTTGGTTGGGGATAATTGCAAAACTATTCTTTTAATGTCTGATCTATGTAATTAAAATTGCATGTAGTGCACAGAGCAGCGTGTTAAAGGAATATCACTAGGAATTTGTGTACTCAATTACAATATATGTTCTTTTAAATACGATTACAACTTTAATGAGGTTTGAAAACACATGTAATGACAAAGTGCAATAGTTTCTAAATTTTGAATAAGTAAAGCTTTGAATCCATTAGTCTCAAAGGTGCCACTTTGTTAATAAATCATCTCTCTTCATAATCTGCTTTAGCCAGTCTTCTCTTTGTCATTGCAGTTTGACTGGCTGGGGTACATCAAGAAGGTGATTGACACCAGACTCTATCCTGAGCTCAAAGATATAGGTCCTTCAGAAAATGTGATTGTCCGTGTTCCCCAGTACTTCAAAGATTTATTCAGGATACTAGAAAATGAAAGGAAAAAGTAAGTATCCTATGATGGCTTCACCTGCATTTATGAGGGGACATCAAGTACTGGGCTTTTCCTGTTTTTTTCAGGTGCTTCAGATATTCTTGGAATCAAGTCTCTAGGCAAAACGTCTGCTTGGTTTTGTCTGAATGAGGATATAGATATTAGCTTGTGTGTAGCAGGAGAATTTGCGGTTTCAACAAGTTCCTTTTTTTACTGAAAACATAGGTTGCACTAAAGATGCTTTTTGCAGATGCATTCAGCATCTCTTCACTTGTACAGGGTCTTGTATTGTGTGAAATCATTTACACCTGTAGAACATAGTTGTAAAATGCAGGTAGCTCAGATTAAACATAGTAGATGTGCTTTGCACAGAGAAGCAAGACAGCTTTGGGCAGTGTGATGAAAAAGTGTGTGTGAAGATGATATCCCACTTTGAAACAGCATTATTGATGACATTAAGTGATTTCTGTGATGATTTGCTTTCTGCTGAGCCTGTTGCTGAACTTTATAAAAAACGTTGTTAGGCTGTTGTCTCCAAAAATCATTTCATTCTTTGCTGATTGTACAGTATGACCACAACTATATTTATATTTCAGAAAAAAGACTGATTCAGAAGTGTTATTCCTATACTGTTGCTCTATGTCTCCAGTGACAGAATGATTGCAATAATCCATAGTACCTCTAAAAATAACATAGAGATCAAACAATAAGAAAAATAAAAATAATTGATCTGCCTACAGATCATCAAACATCCTTACTTTATAAAATTCAGACAAATATTGTTAGTGTGCCACCAGTTTTAATCATCTGAAGAAAGCCTTCTAAATGGTTTGGCCTGTCCATGCTTTATATCTCACAAATTGAATTATGTAAGTGGGGATAAAACTGATTTAGAGCATGCACATGTAGCAAGACAACAGAGAATTAGTTATTCTCTGTGTAGAAATACACTTACATGCAAATATTTTCTCTAACTACAGAGTAAATACCTGGAGGCTTTTTCCATTCGTGTGTTATTCAGGGAAAATCTGGCTCCGAGTGTTGAAGAGAATTTAAGCCAGCCAGTGTGTCATGGCAGAGGGAGGCTGGAGTAATGACCAGAAAGAATGGCAATGCCTGACTTCAGCAAAGCTTGAGACCACCCTCCTCATCCCCATAGGTCGGGGGGGTGGGCAAAAAAGCAGTATCTGATTTGCAATATATTCAGGCTGAATATCTTATAGCTGACAATGGTTTAGGCATCTTCTGCTCAGTCTTACCCTAAGAAATTTGCATCGTAAAATGTTAGAAAAAGCAAATAGAGTGATAAACTCAACCCAAGCAGACTTCAGGTTCTTATATGTAAAATCCATCCAAACAGTCACTGCATGATAATAAAAATCATGTTTTTCTATTAGATGATAGCGTTCATTACTGAAAGTGTTATAGCTTGCTCCAGAAGTAACCTTGTTATCTGGCCTGAGGAAATTAGGAAATAATCTTAATGTGAACTCGTAACAATGAGGTCTTAACATTTTTCCCTGTAGGGTGAACTCTAAAATCTTGACAAGGATATTTTCTTTTAGGTAATCTCATTTGTCATTCTCCATATGAAATTTTAAAGGTTAAATTAATGCAAACAACGTGAATTTGGTTTGTTACAGTAAATATCTAGACCAATCAAATTCCTAGTAAAGCATTCAAAAATTTCAGACTTGCTTCAGTGACTAGAATGTGAATGAACTTTTCATCATTTCAGGAGATGCAGTGTCATTAGGAGACACAGGTACTTTCACTCAGTTCATATTGTTTTTAGTTACAAACCTTCTATACCTAAATTATACTTTTATTCCAATGCTTTGTCTGTCCTCTTCCCAGACGAGCACCCTGCTGGCATGGGTGCTATTCAAAATGGCAGAGAAAGATGGTTCACACCACAGTGATCTGGCAAAGTACTCTGTGAAGTTTGTTTCAGGTGGAGGGAAGAAAGGAGTGAAAATTAAGTCTGGCTACAGAAGCAGTTCTTACTGATAGAGGTGAGAAGTCATATGGACTCACAATCACCATATTAAAAACTGCTCCCTCAGAAAACCTGCTGTGGCATTGTCAGTAGAAAATAGCACACTGGCAGGCTGTAGAGTGAATTTAGTAGAATGAGACTGTTATTTACCTGACAGCCCTGCTGCATATAATCAAGTTACCTTGTGGAGCTTGAAATATGTGCAGCAGGGTGGTTCAGAAGTCTGCCTGAAATTCCCAAGCCAGGGAATTCACTGCTGTGAATCCAGCCTAGAGCATGAGTCTCTGTAGCAAGCTGTTCAAGAAGCTGAATAACTAGCCTGCAGGAGTTTTCATCAGCCCTGGGCTAGCTAGTGTAATGCGTGTCGAATGTTCAGTGCCAAAGTCACACCTTCGTAAGAAGTCTTCAGGGATTCCTTCAGTTTTTTAGTGTACTGGTTGATTTTTAATGGAGTTTATATCTATTACAGAAAGAGGAGGTGTATGTTGAAAACATAGATGTAGCTGTGGTATAAGTTAGGTAACAGCAGAGCTCCAGTGCACTTGTGCCCTGTGAGGGGGTAGATGGGACTGTGCTGGCAGCAGTTAGCAGCCCCTTGTATCCCTTCCCTAATACCTGCATGATGGTACTTTGTGTGTGAGATGATAGAAATAGAATACAGTAAATTATGTCCTTGTTGGAGACACTTGCAGCTGTTGAAGGAAGCAGTCTTATTGTCCTCGTGGATGTCAGAATGAATAACTGGTTTCCTTTGCCTTTCCTTACCCCATCTTTAAAGTACGGGACAATTAATAGAGAAGTACTGTATAATTCCTGCAGCATAAGAGGAATTTTCTTCAGAGAGGGATGGGGGCACTAGATCTATTTTCTGGTCTCAGCCTGCCTCTGAAAAATTATTTAGAGAGGGAAGTTACGATAATTTGTCTTGAACTTCTGCCTCTAGCAATAGAGACAGAAGTTTTCCAGTACTTTATAATTTGATTCATGACTCAATTATGAATACAATTTTCAGATAGATCTCAAAATTTGTGAAAGGGATCTTTTTCTTAAAATGTCAGTTAGTTTGTCCATCTATCTCATATTAAATCTATCCTCTTTAATTGCCACTGTGTCTGTTGATCGAAATATTACAAACTCACAGAATTTTACATGAGCAACCTACTTTATTCCCAGACAGGGTAGAGCATTCCTTAGTAGATATTCATAAGAGCTGGTATAATTTTAACTGTTCCAGCAAACAAGATCTCTACCACTTCCTTTGGAAATGTGTATCACAAGAATGGTCACACTGGTTTAGAAAGAGCCTACACTTGTTTCTGTAACAGTCATTTTGAAGTTAAAACAAGGCACTATGTACTGTACTCTTCCAAAAGGTTACAACAACAAATGCTGTGGTCTCCTTGAAAGAGCAGAGTGGATTTATATGGTTTATTTGTGTGTTGGATTTTGCTCCATGTGAAGAGGTTAACTTCTCTGAGCTTACTTGTGAAAGCAGGGTGAAAGTCACCCCAAGATAGGCACTGGAGAAATTTCATGACCAAGAAGTGTCAGTTTTTAAACCAAATGAAGATGACCAAATTTTAAGTTTGTATAGTTAGCCAAAAAGGTAAAATGATCATCCCCCAAACAAGTAAACAAATTCAGATAAAATACAATTCTGTTTTGTTTTGAAAAACAAAATGAAAAGTACCACTCCTCAAACAAACAACAACAAAACCCCCTCAACCTTTCCCAGCCTTATGCCCACCCAGCAAATAAACATACCTCTGGGCTTTGAAGTGAAACCTTCCTGTTCTTTTATGCATCATATGCTTCAGTGGATTCTAGTGTGATTACAATCAGAAATTATTACCGTCTCATCAGACATCTTGGTTTTAAGATAAGTCAGCCTTATTTTCCTTACCAAATTAAAAGAAACCTCAATTAATTGTGGGATATTTTCTGCAACTCACAGCTGTCTTTATTACTTATGCCTGATGATACAAAAGTTTTTGAATTCCCGTTGATAACAGTGTCTTTGAAGAAGTCACCTTTTTGAGACTCATCCTTTACAAATATCAATCTTTCATTCACTGCCAATTTGACAAAGGTTCTCCAACTCAAATGTTAAGGACAAACACTGCTGGATGAGAACAAGAAGCACACAGAAAGGAGAACTGATTTTTTCGTAGCAATTATGTACTGAATTTTAACAAATAATTGGTTTATGACAGCGGTCTACTTAGCTGAGGTTTTTTACCTAAGACTTTTGATCAAAATTAAATCTTTACACATTTTAATCTGTAGGACTTGCGTGAATACTGTTTTAGATCCGCAAAGTAGTTACTGCAGGATGGTGGATGCTTTTCAGCCATGCTGAAATACCTGAGCCAGATAGTTGTGAGACTTGTGGAGTATGAGTCATTTACAGAACCAGGGAGAGCTGAGCACTTTTAGGGTGCTTCATTTGCCATTGAGTGAGGAAATTCCACATCGTTGGAAATGTGCTAAGTGGAAAATCTATACTTTCTGGTATCTCGTAGGCTGGAATGAATTTTTAATGACCCTAAGTGTTATCTCAGAATGGTTTGATCATCTAAGCAGAGCTAACTATTTTGGCTTTTTTAACATGTACTCTGTTATAAATGTACATTACTCATGCTAAAAAGCTTTTTCAGATATGTTTTATGATTATTGTGGGGATTTATGTGTACTATATGATATATCTGTATACTGAAAGAGGGAATATGCCCAGGGTTATGCGGCATGTCTGAAGTTACGTCAGGCTGCACAGGATGAATTCAGACCTGAGTGCCTAGGAAATGAAATGGAAGAAAGGCTTTACATTAATGCTTTGTGAAAGCCTCTCTCCACAGCGTGAGAGATGAGGAGTAGAAAAGGCGGGACTTACAAATCACAGCAATTCTTTGCTCCCCTGTAGAAGTTGCCACTGGCCACAAAGACTCGTTGAGTACCAGGTGCCTACCTTTGCGGTAACCGTTGGCTTGAGACTGCACTCTCAAGTTTTCCTGTGTGAAATTGGTAGAGCATATATCTGACCTATAAGCATATGCAGACCTAACTGGTGAGAAGCACAGGCTTCACCAAGGCTGTCGCAGACGCACAACTGCCGTGCAGGTTCACATGAGTATGGACGCTTGTGCCAGCTTCAGTTTGGCTGGAGCAGCCTGCAGGGACAGCCAAATCCAGCAGCACTGCAGAGTGCCTGCCTTCCGTGGCCACTCACCGCTGTACCTGACCAGGCTGGTCCCCAGCGCACCTCTCAGCCAGCTCAGAGAGAGCAGGCAGCCACCCCTCTGCTCTTGGTGTAGTGTCCTGCTTGACGTGTGCGTGCTGCTGGAGTTACTGGGTTATCGTGTGCTCAGTCAGTAACAGACAACGCATAGTCTTAAAACTCTCTGTTGTCACCTCTTTATCACCTCCGTGGCTGAACAACCAGGAGTGTAAGCTTGTAGCAAAAACATAGCTTGAGCTGGAGTCTTTGTATGGATGGACTGGAGCTTAGTTAGAGGCAAAACTCAGGTTAAGGCTCAGGTGAATGCTGCTGTGAAGACAACACGCCCACAAAATGTGTTTACAACCTGCTGTGATTCAGAGGATGGGACAGTATGGGATGTGTCTGTGAATGAAGCCAAAAGAGTGACACTGTAGGAACAGCTACTCTGCTCCACTCCTGTGGTATAGGGAGCTTGCAGAAATGGGATTTTTAGAGAAGGGGGAGTTCTTCAGACAGTCCATAACGGCATCTTCTGTTGCAAAGCAGCAGTTTTCACACCTATGGAGAAGTCTGTGGCCTGCCCAAAATGTTACATATATTGCAAAGTAGAGCAAACAACTTTTGGATATCCATAGCTTTAGAGCAGACTGTCTTTGAAAAGTATGTGAAGTATAAGACGAGGAAAATGTTTTTAGGCCATTGCTGGCCTTGTTTTGAGACTGTTTGAAGCTGAATTGCCTATTTCACAATGCACCTTTACCTCATACAGCTTCTGCTGAGTATGGAGAGAGAGCTCAGTCTAGACTAGGTAAATCCTTCAGTGAAGCATTTGAAGTTTTAGAAAAGGGGCTTGGATGTTAGGTCTCTTGGGAAGTTTGAACAACTTCTTCCTGGATCTCTCAGCATCAGTTCTTACGAGATTTTTGTGACTGAGACCTCCCTTTTTTGGTATTTCAATTATCCATCTGCAAAAGAGTGGTAATATTTTAATAACTCTGTGGGTAGTAAGAAATTTTGAAAGCATATTGACAACTTCTAATCAAAGGTACAAATATGAGATAATGATAGTATATATGGGCTGGACTGTTATCTATTCTGCTCCATAGTTACAATTTCTGTGCTCTACTAATGAGGAGAGATAACATTCACTTTGATTTATGAAAGAAAAATCGGTTATTTTCTTATCTCTGGAGAGAACTTTTATACAGCTATTATTATGACACGGTTCTTGCCACTTCTATGGAAAATGAAAACTGCCTTTTGAAAACAGCATTACCTAAAAATGACATGCTAGGAGATGGACTCATAATAAATATGTGCTAGAAGATAGTTATCATGGTGCAATTACATATTAACTGGCTGCAATCATACAGGTTCTTCTGTGTAATAGGAATTTATCAATTTGGTCATCACTTATTAATTTTCAAGGTGAAATTTCCACCGTTTGGTTGAAATGTTCATAGAGATATTTCTGTGAGTGCTTTGAGGTACATCGTATGCATTCAGATGTCTGATAAAAATATGTTTGATTTAACAGGACTCTTGCCAACTATCTGGTGTGGAGGATGGTTTATTCAAGGTTATTTAACCTCAGTAGACGTTTTCAGTATCGGTGGCTGGAATTTTCTCGGGTAAGTTAGAATTTTTATGGCATTTACAATGGTACTAATGTTGACACTATTAGTTTTCCTTATAGCTGCTTATACCTTTGCAAAACACAAAATGCTTTCCATGCTGGATAAATTTCTTGAATAAACTTTTATTGTTAAAGACTCCCTCTAAAACAATTAAGACTTATATATTCTTATAGATGACACTAAGATTATGTTAAGGAGTTCTTGAGACTTCCCCCTTAAAAAGCTAAGTCTTCTTATGCAGTAACTTGAAATCTGGAAAGTTTTAAAGGTATGTGTGCATGTGTTAATATAGTTCTGGTAAAACAAAAGTCTAAGATTTCATCCTTTCTAAGCTTGTTCAAAGCTCTTTCATGCTCTAGTGCCAGCTTTACATGAGCTCTAACACATACATCCATCTGCCATTTCCACAGAGAAGCTGATCAGGTGCCTTCTAGCTTGGGGTTGAAGAAGCCCCAGAAGACATTAGTCAGTCACTGCCCAAAGCTATGAGAGAAGAGCTAATTACCTATAAACTAGTATGGGCATTTATGTAAAACACACACATTTGATTAAGTGAACCCTGACTAGAAATCCACCCTGATGATCCTGTGGGCAGCATGAAGGCCCTTTAAGCAAACCAAGGATGAAACTGAAATGTGCTTTATCATCTTGTTTCCATGCCACCTTAGTTTAGACAGTGAACTTTTTGGTTGTTATGAAAATTGGCTGCTTGGTGACATCACGATGAGAGAAGGCTGTCATGATGCTGCCGGAGATGTGGCACAGGAGGTGTGGGAGCTGTGTTTTCCGTGGTGAGACATGCAGATGGCTAATTGAAGCACCCGTAATGTCTTTCCTGAGTGGTACTGGAATAGTTCTGAGTTGATCACATATCTAAAAATAAACTCCAAAGAGCTTGATGGAAACAACACAGAAAAGGCAGTCTCTTATACTTCTGAAGTCATATTCAAAGAAGTCTTGTTAAAGATACCATTTTCTTCATGCAAAAATGTGAGAAACTGGCTGCCAGAACCACAGCAACAAGTTTGTAAGTGTGTCCCCACCTAGGACATTCCTTGCTAGCCAGGTAAAACAGATTGATACTGGCCGTCAGCCAGTCTGCAGCATAATACTGAGTTAGATTGAGTTACATTATGGCCAGAAAAATTTCTGGAAGGAAACTTTAAGCTTTGGATACTGTGTGTTTTGATATGGTAACTAGCTGCTGTCACTTCTCTGGGTACTTTCTGCAGAAGCTTAGGGAAACATCTAATTCAAGCTGATTCAATGCTTATTAACAATGTCATCAAGTGTGTCACGTAGGTGATTGTGAAAACTTAAGAACAGCACAGTAAGGGCAGTGAGCCAGCAGCTCATTCCTGTTATCTGCCCCTGGGACCTGGAGATGGAGCGTTAGTTAAGTGCAGTAAACAGCAATAGCGAATAGTTAATAGCTAAAGTTAAGCACAGTAAACAGCTCGGGGGAACAGACTTCACAGGTCAGCAGAAAGGACTTGAGGAATGCAGTCCAAGGCAAAAGCTTTGTTGAACAGATTTGCCCAGTCAGAGACTGGAGGACTAAAGGCACACAGGTCCTTTGGGATCATAAAAAGCACCCACCAAGCTTTTGCCAGGTAAGAGAATAAAACATTGAATGACTGCTAAAAAGTCATGACCATGAGATGAATCTGTGACCTTTAAAGAAAAGGCTATCTTTTATTCATTCATTCATTAATTCAGTCAGCATCAGCCTCATCCATCATAAGCATAGTATTTTTTTGAGCAGGTCCTCATTTTCTGTTGGTGGCTTTCACATCTTACATGTAGAAATCCTGGCATCAAGACACTTACACTCTGCAAAGGGAGGGGGAAAAAAGACATCATGAAACTTCAGAAAACCTCAGACTGAGAAACAGGACAAACCTGCTGACTCCAGAGAAAGTGCTTTGATTACCACATCAGCAGCCGTCAGGAGCTCCTCTGCAGTGGCTCTTGGAGTCCTAGAAAATGTGCAGCGGCACCCGGGAAGAGATCAGTTAATTGTGTTGTGGAGCTCTGAAATGACTGGGAGGGACTGAAGCCTGCTATTTATAGCCGCTGTTACTACCTGGAGTACTGTGTTTTAGAGTGGTACATTAATATTAGGAGGACCATTTTGAGGGAGTTCTAGTTGGCTATTGTAACATAAATACCAATAAAGCGGCTGTGAGATATAATCCATTCCTCTCAGCTCTGATTTTATTGGTCTCAGAGCCTGTGCTGCTGTTCTGCCCTCCTTACAGTCAAGCCTCCCACAAAATGATAATTATTGCCTTGTAATAATAATATGTCACAGTCTAAAAGCCGGCTCTGTCTCCTGATTCTTTCTGTGGCTGATGTGTAGCCAAAGCTTTCATAAGGAATTTCAAACTCTGATGACGAATGCCATGACTTCCTTTCCTCTTCTGCATCAGGAAAAATCTCCATTGTGGTTTTGCTTGGACTCTGGAGAGAATTTTCATCTCGCTTTTTATTTTTTCTTCTTTTTTTTTTGATTTTTTGAGTGCTGTGTTATATACGACAGTTCAAGTATTTGGAAAAGCAGTTTATTTTCAGATTTGGCTCTGCTTAAGAAACTATTACCTTATCATGTACAGGTTTGCATAATGTGGTTTTCTTACAGAAGCAGTGTTCTCTCTGTCATTGAAAATCTATTAATGCGCATACAGTATTAATAAAAAGCATTTAAAAATGCTATTCAGCGGTGTATTTCAGGATGAGTCATTGATTAAGCTTAATTACAGACAACATGAGGGAGAAAATCAATCTTTGAACTACCGAGATATCTGACCTTCAATAGCTGAGGGTTAAGCTACTCTGGAATTTTCCAGTGAAATCTTTTCCTATTGGAAAACAACAAATTTAAACCCTCCAGTTTTGCTAGAAATTTAATCTTAGGCTCAAAGGAAGAGAAGACTGGGGAAAATAATAGGATCAGAAACTACTAGATCAGTGCTTAAAAGGATTCTTTATTCTGTGAGAGGCCAAAAGACTATCCCACCTGACCTGGCGTGCTGTTGACTGTACTCTGCTTTTACACAGCTGATAGGTGTTAACTACCTGACTGGGATTTTGCTTGTTCTCTGTGGAAAAGCTTAATAAGTTCCTTAAGTGGAAAGGGAACTCTTTGAACCTTGAAAGTAGCAAAAGTTTCCTACATCAGCACTGCATTTCTATTTGCTTACATGGACCCATCTCATACTTTGTGTTGTGTGTACTATTTTTTATGAACTTCTACCTTGATGAGAAAACATAATGTTAACTGAGTAAGTGTCAACAGTAACAACATTCTTCTTGTGAGAAACAGCAACCAAGGCAGCAAGGTGCTTGAGATCTATTTCACCTGATTCATTGGTGTGTTGACCATTCTTGACTATTGCTCTTTTGAAGCTCATGTATGGTGGTGCAGGGACTTCATCAGAGCCTGGAGGGGTCTGTCTAACCACCATTCCTTTAGTAAACTACACAACCTGTTCTACTAACATCTTTCTGCCGTAACAAGGAGTGCAACTTCTGGAGGACAAACACTTTATTCGGTGTTCTTGATCATTCAAATCTGTTTTCTCTTGATAATATTCATTTGGGAAAGGGACTGAAAGCAACTACGTCTTTTACACTGACTGTGGTAAGAGTAACTAAACAGGTGAATGGCAAAAAGGTGTGGACATGTACCTACCAATGTTAGACATTATTAAGTTGGCACAGATGAGTTCGTGGCAGTGGAAGGCTCTGTAGGAGGTGCTTCATAAGAACTGACCTCACTTTCATGAGCATGATGTCCCTAGGCTTCTCGCCTAGTCAGTGGAGAGAGAAAAAAATTTTTGGAGGTATCTCAGAGCAGGGATTTGCTGGAGAATATGTCTCTTGACCGAACACTGAAAGACTGTCAAAATTAGTCTAAAATTGTTACATGGGAATGCCTGCCTATAACTAACCCTCTAAGCCTAGTCTCTCGAAGTAATTACTGTGGTACTGTTTCCAAGTTTAAAATTTTTCAGCTCTTTTGTGGGGTTCAAAACATTTGTCATAGCACTTCATAAAAATTGAAATAACTGTAAAGTGTTGTTATTGTTTTTACCTTTTGTTATTATTATTATTAAGTGTTGTTATTGTTTTTACCTATTGTTTATTACCTTTTGGTAGTTCTGTGACAAACACGCTTTAGACTATACTGTATGTGGATGCAGACTTGTTCATCTTAAACAGCATGATGTTATGACCTACTACATGTACCTGCCAACAGGTGATCCATGGAACCACATCTTTGCTGCCCCAGTGGGATAAATGTGTGGACCTCGTAGAAAGCACGCTCCCTTACGTTGTGGGCAAGCTGTTTGTGAATGCCCATTTTCAAGAAGACAAGAAAGAGATGGTGAGTCCTCTGAGGTCTCTGCCTAGAAACTTTTAGTTAAACTTTTAATGACAATTTCTCACAAACTGTCTCTGATGTTAGACCGAAGTTTACAAAGAAACAATTTTCTTAGAAATTGTTTAACTAAAAAAGATAAAAAGGCAAGGAGAGAACAGAACAAATTCAAAGAAATGTCAACTTTCTGTCCATCTGGGCACTGTCCATTCCTTCCATTTGCAGCCCTTCAGACAAGTATGTAGCCAGATCAAAACCAGGCTGAACACCATTAATTTGTGTTAGTAATGACAGCCAGGCTGTGGAGCAACAGAGTGAGGAGTAGTATAGATAGTGTAACTCATTATTTTAACTGTTTTTACTGACTAGTTAAAACACTGGTCAAGATTTCTCTGCTTCAGGGTGACCCTTTCAAAGCTGACTGTGCTACACCTGCAGTCCACGCAGGAGAAGTGTAGCTGATTTCTGGCCCAAACTAAGGGAAGCTTAGAGCCACATACTGAGAGTTTGTCTTTGTGATTTGAATCTTTGTTTGCTCAATGGCGAAGGACAGTATTCCACGCTGCTAAGTCCAGGGAATAGCTTTTAGCTGGATGTTCATCCTCATTCTAAAACTTCAAACATAGCTACATTATCACTTTTTTTAATAACATATTCAAATGATCAATTACCCTTCACAATAATTTATGACTTATTTTCTGTTCATTTTTTTTCTCACAAGGTTTTCCAATATCTACTTTTCCAGCCATTGATTTTCCAACAATAATCAGTTTAAAATTAACTAATTTAGTCATTGAACTTAGCTCTTGGTGCAGCAGAGGCACAACCATTTAGTAAAAATGTGAAATAGCATCCTGCACTGGGAGCAACAGCTCTGTGATAGTCCTGCACTGCCCTGGCACAGTAGCCTGAGTTTGTCTGTTTGACTTTATCTAGTTTGACTCTTTCCTCAGGGAAAGACTCCATTTTAGACAGACCAACACTCTGATTTGGCTTGTCCAGATCTTTATGACATGTGTTTCCCTCTCAGGTTCTGCTTTTCTTTTGCTGCTTGCCTTCAGCTTGAGATTCCCTCTCTGAGATCCAGCTTTTCTGTTCCCCGATTCTTGATGGAGTTTGTAATGTGCTATATGGCAGTTTAGTGGCAAAAATGTTTCAGGGATACACAGTATGTCCTGTGCATAGGGTAAGTGGAAAGAGAAGGAGAAATATACACTTTGTGGAGGGGATGGACACATTTTCATGTTTGTCTATGTGAGGGAAATTTATGAGATGCTGATAGAGAATGGTTTTCCAATGAAATGCGACCTAATTAAAATTTTGCTTAGCAGAAAATTTCTTTCAGACCAAATCTTTGAAAAACTATCAAGTCTGAATTCACAGTAGCCCCCGTAGTAAAAAATGCATATAAAATTTATAGTGTAGATCGCAAGATTCAGACTTACAGTGAACTGCCCATTGAGATAAAATTAGATACAGGTGAAATTTGTTGCAATGCACTTAGAAGTGTGCTTTTCAAGTTAATCATTTATTTTGTTATCATTTTCATTTCACTGGTTGTCAATTCCATTTCTCTTTCTCAAGCAGTAAGAAAGCACTTGAGAAAAGCACACTTATTTGTGCAGAGTTTTTTTTTTTTCCCTAGCTAATGACATATATCTGTCTATGATAAACAAATCCTGAGTTATGGATAATATGGATTCTTTTTCCCCCATGTTTTGTCACTAATGTTTCATACCTTAGACACTTCTCTCCTTTTATCAAGAAAGACATTATTTGTGGCTAAATATAGCACTGTTTCTAACCCAGAGTGCCTGCAGTGTTTCTTACAGCTATGCCTGAGCAGTTTCAGTAATAACTTTGATAGCAGGAATAGGTTTCTTCCCCTGTCCCTACAGTGACAGCTGGTGCATAAAGCCTAAGTATACACCAGGGCCCAGGTGCAGAGCTTGAGTTGGAACTTGTAACCTCCAAATACAGGGATTTCACCTCATTAGTGCACTAAGTTAATTGAGTCAGTGCTCTGTCATCAATATCTGTAAGTTACCTTATTCCCTGGGATGCAGTTTACTGTGAATGTTGTTTAGTCATATTTGATGCTAGACCAGTCTAGTTGTCCCATATTGTCTCTAAAAATAAAAAAATGTTTTTTGAAAAGGGTAGAAAAAGATGAATAATCAAAGGAGCTTTGCTATGTTTTGTCTGGCTCCCCCACAGATAAAGAACAGTTGCAGATCTAAATATGCATCTGACACATAGATGACAATTTAGCTAAGGGTAACATTGTTTTCCAGGGTGTACTCCCCACTTTTAATGACATTTCAGAGCTACCAAATCTACACAATAAAATGGAAATCTCTGGTACTTGACATTTTCATTAATTTTAAAGGTAACATAACTGATAACACAAAGATCCAATAAGTCTTCATGTAATGATTATCTGCTATGTCTTGTGTTTTCTCAACTCTGGTTTGGTCTGTGCTAAAGGACTCCAGCTACGGCTGGATCCCCCACATTGCCTCACTCTCGCAGTATTCTCAGTGACCTACTGTCCTGAGGTTCATCTACTGACATAAATAGAAGCAGCTGATGTGTACACCTTTCTAGTTTGTGCTGCCAGACGGAGGCAGGGGCGTGAGGACATTTCTGCTCTTTAGACCGATGTAGTGCATCTTTTAGCCGTGAGATTTCTTGTTTTCTGTCATTTCAGGGGACTGTTAGTGTGCATGCTCACTAAACACTCCTATTATTATTTTTTTCACTTGCTTGTGGTATGCTTATGGCTTTGTATAGGTGTCTGAAGAAGCAGCCAGGCTAAAATGGCTGTCGGTTTTCCTAGTTTTGCACAGATGCAAGCTGTCACTGGTGCTTCAAGACCACAGAGGCAGTTAAGGCTGCTCAGTGTTGTGAGCCACAGCCTCTATCCCTGCAGTAAGTAGAGGGTAGGAGTACTTCACAAATATAGCTAAACACGGGCTAAATATTTGGATACTGCTTTGTATTTGGATCGTGATACTGCCAGCCCAATTTCAGTCCTTTGGCAGTGTTAACAAGGCATGTCTCAGCCTGACATAAACCAAACAAGGCTACAGATGCTTTTTCTGCAGAAAAGGCTTTGTTTGTGCAAACACCTTGCTGCTTCTGCATGGGCTAGTGATCTAGAACCGGTGTCAGAAAACTCCCCAAGTCACCGCAAATTTCCAAGTATTTTTTATGATTTCAAGACAGACATTCTCACAGTTGTGACATCAAAGGGTCAGCAAGAAACAGGTTGTGTGGTACACCTGAAGGAAAAGAAAATGGAAAGAAACTTATTTTCAGAAGCGTCTGAGCGCTGGAGAAAGAAATTAGCCTTCAAGAGAAAACAGCAGATACTGTCTGATTTGGAATTGTTCCTGGTCTAACCAGATCCGTCACTCCTGCATGCACCAAACCTTTGCTTATAATGATTCTGCCGTGACATATTTTACTGGGGTGGGGTTTGCTAAATGTTTTGCAGATGGAGGAGTTGACTGAAGGAATTCGCTGGGCTTTTATTGACATGTTGGAAAAGGAAAATGACTGGATGGACTCTGAAACAAAAAGAAAAGCTTATGAGAAGGTAACAAATGTAAAAGTTGAATGGGTAAAATCCTCTTATGGTGAAGATTTCACTTGAGTGGGAACAGAATGTCATGGACTGTACTTGCAGTTCCAGTAACTTACCCATTGTTTTGTTTGTGAAGAGACATGTGCCACATTTATTTTTCTAGAAGCTGAGCCGTCTGAGCTCCTGCTTCTCTGCTGAAGTTATTTTTGTTGCCTTGTTCTTCCTCCCTTGCCTCCATCTTTCCCCATCTGGCTCTGGCTGATGTAGACTGTGAGGTCATTTCAGATTTGCCTTGTCTTGACAAGATCTTCATCTTGTTTGGGGTGTCAGGGGCACACCAACCCACAAACAGAAAACAGTGTCTAAAACATCTGGGAGAGCTGAGGGCATTTGCTGTGAAGATGGAGTGTCTGGCCTAGAAGGGAATATGAGAATAGTCCAGATCTCATACCTTCTCCAATGCCATGATGGAAGGCCTACCTTGAAAGCCAGCTTCCAGGAACACAATGACCATCCCAGCGGAACACCCGTCTCCGCATAGAATAATGCCAGTTATGAAGTGTTATGATCAAGGATGGGCATTACTGATTACTTTTGGATGGGGTGACAGTAAAATGCAGGAGGTAAAGGTGAAGGCAGGAGGAGATACTCAAAGCTCCCTTTTCACTCTATTCCCACGTTTACAGCGTGTGATATGTGGAAAGGGACTTCTCCAAATGCAGAGCTCTGCCCCCAGAGCAGCAGTTGGAAGAGGCATAAACAAAGCAGAGTGGAGGGCAATGTGTAGGACTGTCTCCTTATTTGTTGAGGCAATGGGATATCAGTGAATTAGTAAATACCCTCTGAATAAACTGGTATGCAAGCACAGCTGAACTGTTCCTGCTCTCTGTGCTTGAATAAAAATAGCGGTGTTTTGATTTAAAAACAAACAAGGACTTCAAAGTTTTTTGGTAATTCTGATGAAGAGGCTGTTGAGACGTTTTATCATTGGAAACTTTTAAACTCCGTATACAGTTATTTACATTTTATACAGCAGTGCTCTGCACAGATGTGCAAATGAAACAGAGTTGCATAAATGCAATAAGCTCTATAGCAAGCGAACAATAGTAAGATGCCATTTATCTCATGCTAACCTGATGGTAAATAGACTGCAGTTATTACTTCTTACTGGCTGTTATGCCTGTTTCTGGCTTTTATTCCTGTTTTTTTTTACTAGAAATACCCTTAGAAATTATCTGTAATTTAGATATTTGACAAATATGATGCAAAATAAGACAGGAAGGTTTTCTAATTACTTCCTTAATAGAGATGTTTCTACATACCTTTACAGGCATATGCAAGTCTGATACTGATTTTTCTAGCAAACAATCTGCTTAACCAATTTGTTCTGCCTTTCAGCAGAGAAACAATACAAGCATTTCTGCAAACTAATCAGCTCCCTAAAAAGCTCCTCTTCTTTTCCCAAATTAAACAGAGTTTTGTTTCAGAAGGTAGGTTAGATCTTTTCTAGGTACAGATGCCGGTTTCCTCTGTTGACACATTTAGGAAGCTTATGGCACTTAGCTTGCAATTTAGGCATCCCCTCTAAGTTTCTGAAGTTAATGGGGTGAGTCTGGGTCAAACAATGCATGACGGACTAACTTCAAGCAGTACAATAAAAATAATACTACAAGCCATAGCACTGCAAATAGTGAATAGTTTAAATCCATTCTCACAGATCTGAACAACAATTTTATAGTTTACCTACATAGGAAGATGGTCAAGCTTTTAAGGCACAAATATTACATAATGACTTAGAAATTGCAGCAACAATTATGTGGTAGGACTTACGACTGTAAGGTTAAGTTCAGATTCACAGAAACAGCCACTTGGCCAGAAGGAGGGAGTCCAGAGAGACATTTTGGTGGATTTCCAGACATGGATTTTGTGCGTGTTTATTAAGTAATATTTATTGCTAATGATAGATACTGCATTTGTCCTGGGACATTTGGACGGGTATGTTTTTAATTCAAGAAACAGATTCATTACATGAGTGGTCAGGTAATTCACTGGGGAAATCTAAGATTTATAATACAATAGAACCTTCAAAGTCTGTGACTCTGTCCCAGATAAATCTCATGAGCCCAGCACATTATGCTGTCACTTTTTTAATACTTACACTTTAATAAAGCAGCACAGACAACAGGAATTTTGGAGTGGGGATTGTTTGTTGGTTTACAAAAAACACTATTACTTTACTACTTTCTTATATATGGATCAGTAAACGTGAAATTTCTTTGTCAATAAGTGTCACCTGCATCTGAGAGGATAGTGCAAGTGCCGTGGATTTCACATTTTAGGAAGAAGCTTAGTTTCTTCTTGAATTGAAGAGCAAGTTATATTGTCCTGCGGTCTTCTCAGGTTTACTCTTAATTTTGGACCACTGTAAAAACAGAAACTAGAGCTATGAGAGAGCGCAGTGGAATGCTGAAGGTACCTTCTTTCAGACGAAGGCCAGAAAAGAGTCTCCGCTTTGACTTTTTGTATAGGCAAATTGTAGTATGTTAGCCAATTATCATTGGCCTGAGTAAAATAACATGTAAAACAACTCTTCTAGTTCTCTGTGATTGCTAACACCTCCATGGAATATTTTTATTAGGGCAGGATATTCTGCTTGGAAATAAATTTCAGTCCTGTGTGAGCATCTTCTGCTCATTGCCATTTTCAGAACAAAAGGTGACATCTACTTCATTATTAATCTGATATCCTTCTATGAGAAGGTCACCTGCCTAGTGGATGAAGGGAAGACAGTTGATGTCATTTTTCTGGATTTTAGTAAGACTTTTGATGCTGTCCCTCACAGCATACTTCTGGACAAGTTGTCCAACTGTGAGATGAGCAGGTACACAGTGCACTGAGTGAAGAACTGGCCAAACAGCAGGGCTCAAAGGGATGTAGTGAAAGGGGCTACATCTGGCTGACGAATGGTCACCAGCGGTGTTCTTCAGGGCTCAATCCTAGGGCCAGTTCTGTTCAATATTTCTGTATGTGATCTGGATGTGGGAGTTGAATGCACCATTAGCAAGTTTGCTGACAATATGAAACTGGGAGGTGCTTTTGATTCTCTGAAGGGACAATAGGTCTTGCAATGGGATCTAGATAGGTTGGAGCACTGGGAAATGATTAATGGGATGAAATTTAACGAGTTCAAATGCCAGATTCTGCACCCAGGACAGAGTAATGCTGGGCACAAGTAAAATGGGGAGAGGAGGGGCTGGAGAGCAGCCCTGCAGAAAGGGATCTGGGGGTGCTGGTCGGCAGCAGGCTCAACACGAGCCAGCAGCGTGGCTGGGCAGCCCAGAGGACAAGCCGCATCCTAAGGTGCATCAAACAGCACAACCAGCCGGTCCAGAGAGGTGGTTAATCCCACTGTGTTTAACGGTGCAGCCTCACCTTGAGCACTGTGTGCAGTTCTGGGCCCCACACTTTAACAAGGATGTCAAGGTCCTTGAACGAGTCCAGTGGAGGGCAACAAAGCTGGTGACAGGGCTGGAAGGCAGGTGCTGTGAGGAACAGCTGAGGGCTCTGGGTTTGCCTAGTTTGGAGAGCAGGAGGCTGAGGGGTGACCTCTTTGCTCCCTACAGCTTCCTGAGGAGGAGAAGAGGAGAGGGAGGGGCTGAGCTCTTCTCCCTGGGATCCAGTGCCAAGGTACGTGAGAACGGTTCAAAGCTCCATCAGAAAAGGTTCAGACTTGGTATTAGGAAGCATTTCTTTACCAAGAGGGTGGTCAAACACCAGAGCAGGCTTCGAGCGAGGTGGTCAGTGCCCCAAGCCTGTCCGTGCTTAAGAGGCATTTGGACAAAGCCCTTAATAACACACTTCAACTTTTGGTCAGCCCTGAAGTGATCAGGAAGTTGGACCAGACGATCGCTGTAGGTCCCTTCCAACTGAAATATCCTCTTTCAGAGAATTAACTGCAAATCCTCTCCATAATTCGGATACTCACTCTTTTGCCTGTTTTCTGCTACCTGTTTTCTGACTGACGTTCACCTGTCCTGTGCACTTGGCAGAGGCCAAACTTGTATACCTTGCTGTCAGCATGATGCTTTGTAATCAAAGGGACCATTGACCTCTGAAGGACTTACAAAAGGCCCTCTGGTAGAATCAATGCTTAAATTCTACTTTCGGCAGCCAGTCAGCTCCATCTAATCACTGAAATGTTTCTCCGTCTGTGACTCTCTTTGTGTCTGTTCTGTTGTTTTAAGTTACTCAGAGGGGACACTAGTAATCTGATAAGCCCAAACCCTATTAAAAGGATCAAATCAATGAGTCCATGTGACATAACGAACAATTGTCTCGCAGCCTTGATTTCTGAGAATCACCCTTTTAGCCCTTGTGTACTTTGGAGTTAAGGTTTGACTTTCCTTCTGTAACAGAACAATATAATGAGATAACATCTAATAATTTCCTTCTATCCTCCCTCTGTTCCTCTCTCTCTGTGATCGAAACATGGATTGAAACCAGACCATCTGAAGGCCAATCTTGCAAAGACGGCTTTTAACAGGGTTAGGTGACTCGGCGTGTCTTGACGTGCAGTTCTCGCCTAGCTCTCTGGATGGAGCTCATGCCGCTTCCAAAGGAGCACCGAGTCGGAGAGAAGCATTCGGCTCTGTGCTCTGATGCTCTGCTTTCTGCCCTGTCCTTCCTCCTGCGCTCTGTACAAGCCTTGCTTTATTGCTCTGTATTTGACTATCTGAAATTTGCTTAGACTATGCTGTTAACCTCCCGAGTTTTCAATGGAGATCTCTGATTTTTAAAAAAAAAAGGCAAAAATTTCCTCTTCTTGCCCTTTTAGCCTCCGTTTTTTTGTGAAGGTCTTTAAATTTTGCTCTCATTTGAAGAACAGAGAAATTATTCAAATGACTGCAGCTCCAAGGGTGTGTCTGGCAACAGTCTTCATGTACGTGGTCTGCGAGTTACAGAAGCCATGCGGAAAGATCCCTCGTCTGCTGCCCAAGGACCTCTCTGAGCAC